AGTGGACACTGCAGCTTTAAATTGAGAATTAACAGTTTTCCATTCTCTTTGTCCAACATTGTTGTGGCTTCAGTAGGTTGTTTATTTTGGACCTGCATCGAGGGTGTAAAAAATCTGTGGCATTAATTATGGATGGCATGAGTCCCAGACACGCTATTCTGAACTCTGACCTGGGATAAATACGGGAAGAATGAGGAAAATTACAGAGCTTTAGAGAGCAGGGAACCACATTTAACTTTGCCAAGTTTTCCCTCCATAGCCTCTGAAACTGTAAAGACCTCATTAAATCTAATTCTATAATTATAATAGTATTCATTTTAACTAGAAGTAGTTAACATGTTCCCTTGAATGAATCATTTTAGAAACAGGATGCCAATATTTATGTTTGTTGAGGTTATTTTTGTTTGCTGTGTGAAATTCAACATCTTTATATGCACTGAGGGGGTAAGAGGGCACACAACGACACTACAGACGAGAGAGGCAATCAGGCTAATTGACACTGGAGAGATCAGTTAGTAAAACGTACTGGCAGACGATGAACTAAAGAAATGGTTTAGCTGCTCTCTCATGTCCTCAGTGGAATAAATGTGAACACCTACATGACAGACAGTGGGATCAAAGGGCACTAATTGACTCTCAATCCTCCAATTCACTGTTCTTTGAAGAGGTGAAGAAAATTAGAAAGTCAGAGAAAAGAGAAAAAGATAAAGAGTAATACAGAAACACCGCTTACAAAAGCCAAGGGGATGTCCCATCTCCTAGCTGAGTTGCACCAAATCATTTGGCAATTGCTAAACCTAACAAGATGTTATTGTACAGCATGTGCAATACAGCTGATCAGCACCATGCACACATTTCATGGAGCTCAGGCCCATGAAAGATTTATACTTGTAGAAAAAAGACCTGAGCTAAATCCAGCTAAAGAAAGTGTGTACTTGGGAGGCTGCAGTTAGAAATTCTGCAGGTTGTGCCAAGAACATCTTCCCCAAATCTCACATTACCTTCTCTTACATAATTCCCATGTGAATCACTCTCAATTTCCTGTCTTCAGTTGCTCTTTTAAAGGATTGTAAATTATAAAACACACAACAGATGAGGAATCCTAAACAAACCCTTGGAACATATTTTGGGTTTCATTCTCAATGTTTTGTAACCTGTGTGTCCTTGTTACACTTCTTGCTTGTGTGTGTTCTTCCTAATGATTCTCTGTTGCTGTATCTGCGTTGAACCGCTACTGGCCCATGTTGTATTAAAGTGAGCAAGCTTGAAACACAGCTACTTTATATGCAGCATAAAGAAATAAACACAAGCAAGATATATTTGGCTTTCAGTATCATCTGATGCTGATGCAGACATTCACACAGAGGATCTGGTATTCATACCACACTATTTATATGAGGAATGGAAAATACCACTGTGCTATGGGGTATTTAAAATGTAAGAGCCTGGAAGGTTGTGGGTTCAGATCCCAGGTGAGATACTGCTGTTATACCCTTGAGCAAGTCACTGGGAAAATATACATCTGTATAAACAGATTTTAATGCAGGCTGCTTTGCATAAAAGTGAAAGCCAAATCCATAAATAGTGATTTCGCAAGTCTAGCACATTTTACAGAGCAACTCTCATAGAAGGTTTAAGGGGAACTGCCCTGCTATTTTTATATTAGAGGGGTTAGAAGAATCTGTCACATCATCCAGGTGGGGCTGCACATTGGTGGTGGTGGAAGGGAGTACCAATTACCTGTAAAGCACTTTGAGTGAAGTGTCTAGAAAAGAGCTATATAAGTGTAAGGATATTATTTAATTCAATAGAAATATTGGTCTTGACTTTGAAACTGATTTGCTGACAAATAAAATGTACTTGTTAAATTTGCAATGCAGATCACATTACACCATTTCTGTGGTGAAATGTCTGCTGCACAGCCTGTACGTATTCACTCATACATCGCATTACATTAGTCATTGCAGGGACTAGTGAGCAGGAAGGGCTGCTTCACGCCCCAAATCGCTCAAACTCTTACTCTCACCCATGGAAAGACCAGCGGTTTGCAGCGATATGGTGACTATACATTGCTTTCACAAAGTTCTTTCACAAATTTTGTGCTTAATTGAGAATTCATAAAAACATTCAATACCATCAATTAATTTTGTTACCAACATTTAATGACGGGTCTGAGAAATTGGGACTGCAGTTCTCCTTTAACTGGGCAACAAAGGCACAGCTGAGCCTTTAAAGAAGAACTTTCTGTTAACAATTCCTTCACTATTGTCACTTGGACATAAATGGATGTACGTCCCATTCTAGGAATTTGTCCCAAATAATTGTAGTTCTTAAGAGTGCATGACGCAATTGGTGTGTAAGAGCTCAATGTTTTTCCAAATGTATTCTGCACCTTGTGCGAGACTTATCTGTTGTCTGTTGTTGAAATCATAAAACAAATCATGCCTCAATACAAGTCAATATTTATGATCAGTCTCTGTATGTCACGACTCTAGATCTATTAAAATGTACGTTACAGTACTTTGCTGTTTGCTTTGTCAAGTGTGAAACAGTAAGGTTTCTTAAATAGCACCACACCGCCCTCTAGTGAGAAAATTACGTTAATACATCTAAATCTGAAACGGATTTCTCTGGCCGGTGGATAGTTTTTCACATAAAACAAGTATGGCTCAGCTGTCACGAAAATCTTCCTCCTTAGAATCATGGAAAAAATCCTCCTCCTTTCTGCATTAGTCTGAGCTGTCAATTAAAAATAACCCACAACAGAACTGAGAGGTTTTGGAAAAGAATTGTGTTTATGCTAACATGCCACTTATATATTGTATACAGTGTTCGAAAGCAATTAAAAAGGCAAACAAAATACTAGAATATAAAGTTACCTTGTAGAATGTAAATCAGGAAATGTTTTGTTAAAATTGTATAATACACAAGTAAAGTCTCATTTAGAATACTGAGTACAATTTTGGTCACCGTGTTACTCAAAAGATATTGCTGTTCTCAGAGAAGAGCAACCAGATATATGAGCTTAAGGGAGAGTCCTACACTGTCAGGCTGAAGGAACTGACATTTTTGTTCTTGAACAGAGAGGACAGTAGGGGAAACAGACAGACGTATTCAAAATCCTCTGAGTTTGGGTGTCCTCTATCTATGTCCTCTATCCTCAAACTGAGGTCGATAGAGTCAACCCAGAGGTCTTCTTCAAAATGAACAGTGAAACTCAAAGCAGAGGATACAGATGGAAATCATGTGGAAGTGAATTTAAAACTGAGAGCAGGTGGTACTTCTTTACCCAAAGGGCTGTGGGAGTATGGAACGAGTTGCCCAGCGATGCTTTTGAAGCTGCTGCCCTGGTTTCTTTCAAGAAATGGCTGGATGAGAGCCTTGGATCAGTGAACCGCTAACTAGCCAACGGGCTAAACAGGCTAAGTGGCCCCCTCTCGCCTGTAATCTGTCTTACCTTCTGAAGTACACATTCATGAAGCAGGCCAATGTTTACACAATCAAGTACAAAAGCATACTCTCTGCTGTTTTCAACATAGTGGGCCTTTTGCTGCTGTTGGTGGTAGAGGATCACACTTGCAGATTAAGGTGGGCTGGATTTATTGTAGCCGATTCCCAGGGAGATCAAAGAAGAATAGTGGGAATAATGAAACAAGGGTTTGAGAGAGAATCCACGGCTGGAATACTTTTTTGTCCTGTTGTGTTAATGTCATTCTGCCCTGGACACCATACTGCATATCTATCCATCCATTCTCTAACTACTTTATCCAATTGAGGCTTGAGGGAGCCAGAGACTATCCCAGCAACAAAAGACACAAGGCGGGATAAACTCAGGACAGCATGCCAGTGCACTGCAGAGTGCACACAGACACAAATACACACACACACTCACATCAGGACCAACAGGTCAATGAACCTACCAGCATGGAAACCAGAGCACCTGGAGGAAACCCAGGCAAAACCAGGAACAACACACAGACTCCCCACAGTTAGCATCCCAGGGATAGAACCCAGGGTTCCAGCACTGTGAGGCTGCAATGTTAGCCCCTGCAACACCCTGTCTGATCATTCATTTTTACCCTATATAGCAATAATGTCAGCAAATGACCCCTTGTATGTTACCAAAGTTATCAGTTCTTACTACCTTTCTTGATGTTGTTTAATATAAGCTGCCAGCTGTTATTTAAATTTCATTAAGAAATGAGACAATTCCCTGTTGCGTCGTATGCACCAACCTGTAAGGAAAATAGAGCCCTTACAAACTTTCTTTATAGTCGGTTCTTTCTACTCTTATTTCTCACCGCACTTCAACTCATCTCTTTGGATAATGAACCTACTTTCTAACCCCCCCAGTAACACAATACTGTCACTTGAATGTAAGGCTGTTTCTCACAGACAGTACACAGTATTAACACTTTACTATATGTGTAAGTGATTTTCATTTTAACACTTATTTTAGCTCTCTTTTTCTTTTGTAAAATCAAACAGGGAATTAGGAGACTGAATACATTTCAGAGTAGTTCCTGGTAGTTAAAACCTATACTTCAATAAACAAAGTGCAATTAAAATAATGTCTAAAGTAGGCCACCATCACAGCACAGTACGTTTATTTGTATGAAATCTAACTGATACTACATAATTATTGCACTTTGAAAACAAGAGTTATGTTTTCTATTATATAAACTTAATTTTCTTGATAGTCTTGTTAGATGACCAGTGCCCTTGATTAAGGTCCTCTTTATGACTCTTAGTGTGAAGCACAATAACGGTGTATTACTTTTTGTCTATGAAACTCTACCGTTTGATATTAAAAAAACTACATGATATAGGAAAGGCGCGTAAAAACGACATCCCTGAAACAGGTTTTTTTGCTCTTCTCTTTAAATGTAATACTCTCATAAACATCTCGTCCAACAATCATCCAGCTCATTAAAAAAGAGGCATTTTCAGCCAGCGTCACGTGACTAACACACGCACTTCAACGTCATATCTCCGCGACAGTCGACACAGGCGCACTGTCAGTGTCTTTCCTGTATTTTCTCATCTGAGGTGGAGAAGAGAGGATGGCTGCAAGGTTATTGCTGAGATCGGCCGTTCGTGGGGCTTCTTGTTGTCGGGGGGCCCCTGCCTCGGTACTCACCCGCGGCATGGCAGCAGGAGGTGAGAGAGATGGCGAGGCAGACGGCTTGATCGCCGAGGCAAAGACGTGGGGGCTGACTTCAGTTAAGCTGTTTTTCTGCCAAGGGCAGGCAAAGGCAATCGTAGTAACAGGCCTCATTGAGTTCGGGGGTTGTTAGAAAGCAAAGTGCTATTTTGATAAATCTATATGGGATACCTTTTTCTGTAGAGATCAATTTAATGTGAACAAGCGGAGTTTGGACAATAGTATTTTAATAACTGAATTGTATGATTTCCTGTAGTTTTTAAATGCTTGTGAAACGCGGAAATGGATTACACGTTATTTAACTACACTAAACAAAACGCGCAGTTTACTACAAATTAATCATATTACATATCTCTGCTCCGCAAAACTGGTAGCGTTTTAGTGTGTTTATTAGTTTTTTATTTCCCCAAAACTGCGCAATTATTTATCTACAGGCGTTCCGACCAACGAAGAACAGGCTACCGGTTTGGAGAAAGAAATTATCAACGCATCGAAAACAGGAGCGGTGAGCATCTGAAACTGTATAGTTATTGTCATCTGGATTGCCACACTAATAAAATCAGTTGGATAGGCGCATAGTCATAAGACAGAGATTCATGGCAAGATGGGGCACAAGGTCATACGGATTAAATATAAAGTTTGATTATTCATGTATTTAAATACGTTTCACTATTAATAGCTTATTTGTTGTACGTTTCTAAAGTGTCATTTATTACTCCTAAACCAAGATTTGTATTAAAAGCCATGATTGTTTCACTTTCACTTTTACAAGAATCACTGGCCCCCATAAGTTCAGGGTCGCGTTTTTCTAAAAAAAAGTGCAATACAATTTTAAACTCTTTTCATGTACTTTGTCATTGTCTGGACATTGGTTAATGGAGATCACAGGGTACATATAGCTAGAATTAATTAATTACAGGTACTGTATATCCTGCTTAACTGTGAGGACGGTTTCCTGAAAAGCTTGATGTGCCGACGATGTAAATCAAAGTAATCACCACAATAATAATGTAATGGTAGGCTGCCATATACATACAGGTTTTAACAAAAACACATCTGAGTTCTATATGTTTAATATAAACTTCAAGAACAGTGTACGAATGTTGTGAATATATTTTCAATACAGAACATTTTTACAGCCTAATGTGTACTATATGTAATAGTTTTAAAATTTATTGAACTCAATTCCCTGTTCTTTAAGAAAAAGAATGAATGACCGTATTTTACGGTTCTGTAGAGACAATTTTAATTTAAAATATATTATATTATATAGTAAGAAGTGGTAGTCTTTTAAGAGTATGTCCAGCCAGGTGGTGGCTGCTTAAGAATGTTGTTAGTAATGTAAAAAGATATAGACATTGAGTTCATGTATAGCAGGATATATCGGTAGTTTTGTTTGTTCGTATGCCTAGATTGATTCGAAATGTGTTTCAGCTTGCCAGTTGTGTGCCTAAGAAATCCAGAACGAACTGATTCAGCTCTCTTTCTTCTTTCTTAGTTTATCCTGTTTAATGTAGTTTAAAAAAATGAAAGAATAGAAATTAAGGAACATTTGATGGTTAAACTAAAGAAAGTTAAAGAAACTTTTTATTTCAGGACCCTTACAACATCTTCAAGCCCAAGGCGTACACTGGGTCCAAGCAGGATCCCCACCTCGTGCCCTCCATTAACAAGAAGAGAATCGTGGGCTGTATCTGTAAGTCCAGACGCCTCTGTCTTACTCCTCTCTGTATTCTACAGCCGCTCTGGAGCAGGCATCGCTTTGAACTGGAAATAGCTCAAGACTGGTGATAGTTGGACATTTCTCATTTGTTTTTCAAATCTTTTCCAAACTTTTTCTTTTACATGAAAGAAAGTGGGGAAGGCAGGGAAAATATTAGTCCTGCCAGTATGTCCTACTGGGTTTAGCTGTACAGTATATATGATCTCTCTGGTTTATGATGTCTCTTTCCTACAGTATGTTTGCTTTCATAACTGTAATTGATCACAAACAACTGACAGTGAAATAAGTCAGCAAGTTTACTAGCTATATGTTCCTTAAGGTTGTTTTGTCTGCTTTCGCTTAAAGGAGGACATTATCAAACTACATTGCCTGTTTCTAAACTTTTTGTAAACTAAAAAAAACTTTAATTAGAAGCAGACTTCCCCGACTCTCTCTTGTGGAAATTTAGGGGTTTTCCCATGTTCGCTTAGATAGAAGTGAAACATCTGGGAAAAGTAGAGGCAGTGGTGTTTGTGTCTTTGTGAACGATATGTAGTGCAGACAGTACTCGGTGAGGAAGATTATCTGCAATTAAAATGTTGAGGCCTTTCCACCTCCCAAGAGAATTCTGTAACATTATTATATGCAGATCCGGCAGACTACGGAAGCTCCTGTGTTATCCTGTGGGATTTAAATCACTGTAAACTGGAGATGGCATTGCCTGGGTTTGAACAGCATATCAAATGTGGGACAAGAGGGAACAGAGTTCTTGACAAATGCTACAGTAATATAAAACAAGCCTATACCGCCAAAGTCAAACCACCTGTCTAACTCTGATCACAATACTGTTCACCTCATCCCCATCACCTCGAGAGCATTATTAGATATGGTATAACAGTGTGGTTTGGTAATTTTATCAGTTCAGTTAATATCGCAAATTACCAGTCTCATCCAAACAGCTTTGAAGGTCATGGGAGTGAAACAGCACCCCTCCCTGCAGACAATCTTTGAAAAAGCCAAAATCAAGCAGGCAGAAAAAATTATATCAGATCCTTCCCACATCCTCAATTCTGAATACCAACTTCTTCCTTCTGGCAAACGTTTTAGGGTTTCTGAATGAAAGTCAATCAGATACGAATATTCCTTTGTTCAACTATCCTTTAAATCTGTCAATGCAAATGGCATGGATAAGCACAATTTTTTACTTTTACAGTCTACTTGTGTGCGATGTGTTATGAATGTTATGTGTTATACATGTGCAATAGAGTGATGTGCAATGTTTGTTTTGTTCTGGGGTGTGTGCATTATATTTAAATGTACAGAAGTGCTGTGTGTCCCCTAAAAAAATTCCCCCAGGGGACAATAAATCTTGCCTTATTTTTTTAGGATACTTCACATGCAGAATTAGAGAAATTGTTAACACTTTCCTTTCCTTTAAATGACTGCTGTTCAAATTATGTGTGGCTGTTGCTGAGCAATAAACTAGTTTATCAGGGTTTTTTTTATAAAAGGGACTTTGTTAAATTTGAAGTATTTCAAGTAGGGAGCTGAGTCAGCATGCGTAGGCTGCAAAGGAACAAGTAAAGGTTTATTCCATACTGAAAAGAGAAGAAAGGAAACGCAACTTTTCGGCTGTGGCACCTGAAGAAGGCTCCACAGCTGAAACATTGTTTCTTTTCTTCTTTTCAGCATGGAATAAAGCTTTACTTGTTCCTTTGTTAAATTGATTCAATTAGGTAAATGTATGTATTTTGCCCGCCTTCAGTCAGGGATGATGTAACAGTGTCTATAGATAAAAGATGCAATGCCTTGGTTCCACAGAGGCTTCAGCTTTGCATTTGGGCTGAACTTATTTAAATAAACTTCTTTGCTAAACTAAAGTAAATGAATCATTGCATATATATATACACAGAGATGGTAATTTAAAGCTATGTGCATGGCATATATACAGTGGTGCTAGAAAGTTTGTGAATCCTTTAGAATTTTCTGAATTTCTGCATAAGTGACCTAAAATGTGATCAGATCTTCATATAAGTCATAACAATAAAAGAGGACACAATAACACACAAAAGGATGTACTTTTTCATTCATTTATTGATCAAAATGATCCAACATTCTTTTTCTTTGTCAGAAATTTTATGTGAACCTATGCTTTCAGTAACTGGTGTGACCCCCTTGAGCAGCAATGACTTCAAACGTTTACGGTAACTGTTGATCAGTCCCGCACATCGGCTGGGAGGAATGTTGGCCCATTCCTCCTTACAGAACTGCTTTAACACAGTGATGTTGGGGGGCTTTCTTGCATGAACTCCCCGTTTCAGGTCCTGCCACAACATTTCTATATTAAGGTCTGGAGTTTGACTTGGTCATTCCAAAACGTGAAATTTCTTCTGCTTCAACCATTCTTTGGTAGACTGACTTCTGTGTTTAGGGTCATTGTCTTGCTGCAAGACCTACCTTCTGTTGAACTTCAGTTCATGGACGGATACCCTGACAATCTCCTGTATTTTTGCTGGTACGATCCACAATTCATAGTTCTGTCAATGATGGCAAGCTGTCCTGAGCAAAACAGCCCCAAACCATGATACTGCCACCACCGTGTTTACGGTTGGGATGCTGTGTTTAGTTTTTGCCAAACATAACATTTCTCATTTAAGCCAAGAAGTTCTATTTTTGACTCATCCGTCCACAGAAAATTCTTCCGGTAGTCTTCTGGCTCATCCCAGTGGTCTTTAGCAAACTTTAAACGGGCAGCAATGTTCTTCTTGGAGAGTAGTGGCTTCCTCCTTGCTGTCCTCCCATGCACACTGTTCTTGTTCAGTGTTTGCCTGCTGGTGGACTCATGAACACTGACATTAGCCAGGGCAAGAGAGGCCTGCAGATCCTTGGATGTGACCCTTGGGTTCTTCGTGATATCCCGGAATATTATACACCTTGCTCTTGGAGTGATTTTATTTGGACGACCACTCCTGGGGAGAATAACGATGGTGTTGAATTTTCTCCATTTGTACCCTATCTGCCTGACAGTGGATATGGTGAAGCCCAAAGTCTTTAGAGATCATTTGGTAACCTTTTCTAGCCTGATGAGCATCGACAACTCTTTTTCTGAGGTCCTCAGAAGTCTCCTTTGACCGAGCCATGGCATGCATTCACAAATCTGTGTGGTGGAGACCAGCCTTTGGTAGTAGAGACTCGGGTTTATGTTTTTTAAATAGGGCAGGGCCACCCAAACTCACACCTGATTGTCATCCCATTGATTGACACTCCTGACTCTAATTATCCCGTTAACTGAACTGATAATCCTAGAGGTTCACATACTTTTTCCGACAAAGACATTTAATGGTGGATCATTTTGATCAATTAATGAATGAAAAAGTACATCCTTTTTGTGTGTTATTTGTTTTATTGTGTCCTCTTTGTTGTTATGACTTAGATGAAGCTCTGATCACATTTTAGGTCAAAGTTATGCAGAACTTCAGAAAATTCTAAAGGGTTCGCAAACTTTCTAGCACCACTGTATAATATTGTGGCCCTTCAGGACTACATTGGCTTACTGCTAATCTAGCCATGCTTGAGCTTGTTCTGTTTGTCTCCCAGGTGAGGAAGACAACACCGCTATAGTGTGGTTCTGGCTCCACGAGGGGGAGGCACAGCGCTGTCCGTCCTGCGGCTCACATTACAAGCTGGTCCCTCATGAGCTGCCCCACTGAGCCTGGAGGATCAGCTTTCCAGAAGGAATCCCTTTAATAATGTTTGCTTAAATTGAGAAGAAATAATGCATCGCTAAGCGTCGCAATCTTTATAAACCCAGTTCTGACACTTCACTACGTTCTGATGTAGTGCATGTTACATTTGGTCCAAATCCTCTTAATAAAGTCGGTGGTGTATGAAGCTTTTTGAAGTGTCTTGGGTTTTGTTCTTTAGCACGTGGCCAAAGTCATTTTAAGGTCACATGGGTACAGTCTGTTTTGTAATGGCATTTCATTTTCGGTTTCTATGCAATATAAATTTTTATACACTGCAGTGCCTCTGTAAAACGGTTATAAACAATACACGCTAGCAAAGGGTTATACAGACCTGTTGCACAACTCCTGGATTATACTAATTACTCATAAACAGCCTTAATTTGTTTTTTTTTCCAAGTAATGAACAATGGATGTCTTTAGTAAAACAAAATGTTTTTATACTTGTTTTGTTTTAAAAATACAATGAATCAAAGCAAAAAAAAATCTGTAACATATTGTTCTATTTCATTTGACGACAGAGGATTGCATGGTATATTGAACATGCTGCCACTGATCAATACCCTAGCCATAACATTGTTTGGGGCTTAAAAGGATAAGATGCTTTGCTATATTTAATGGAGAGACTGGAACCAGAAACCCATTAATTCAATTTGAGCAATATATGTTATATCGATATCCTTTCAACGTCAAAAATACAAAATCTGTAAAGTATCCCGTCAAACTAATTTAGAAAAAACTTCATTATTGTCATACTGACAACCTAATTTAGAAAAAAAACATCATTGTATTTCTTGTCGACAATAAACCGAAATAACACGAAAGACAGCACATGTACCTCATTACACTCTAAAGCAGAGGCAGCAAAGTGATACAATTAGAAGTTACCATTAGAAGAAAAACAAGGATAAACATCATTTTCCAATTTTATTGTACAAAAATACATTCTGAAATATTTTCTTTTCACACGAGCGCCGGACGAGCTGCTTTTTATCCAAAAGCGTTTAAAAAATAGCTAGAGCTAAACCTATTCCATGGAATCGTGTACAAAAGATTAGATATTATATACAGTTTGCCATAGCAAAAATATGTATTGTGACCGGGAAGGAAACCACATACTGTACGCTTAAAACACAAATAACGGAAGCAGAAGCTCACCTAGACCCGAATCATTATTTTCTGTATATTTTTAGAAGTTTTAGAATCCAGGACTGTAACACGTCTATGAAAGATAGAGAACTTTACAGTGAAATATTAACATCTGCTCAATCGATGTACACTATCAAATTTCTCATGATCAAGTCGAATGCTAGCAATAATCTTTAAAAATCCAAATTTGTGAGCTGAACTCTACGTCGTGACCGATTGGGAACAACACAGCACATTCCATGTTTATGAACCCGTCACCCTAGATAAAAACAATGAACAATTAAATGTCATATTTCAAGTGTCCACAAGGGGGAACACTTGTATTGAGTGATAATTTCACATTCCAGTTTCAAAGTAGAGTGCCGTGCGTTGCTCAAAATTTCCATTCACAACATTTGTCAAAATAAATGCCCCAAGATTACGCGACAACAACAGCATCTATCTTCAAAGGTTTCGGCGCACAAAAAAACAAAAGTTTTCACATAAACAGCAGTCGGTGTCAGCACAAATCTCAAGTCGTGTATAGAAATGTGTTCATTCGCTATACAGTACACACAGTGCATTTCCACAAATCAACAGATTCTTCTGAACAAATGTCGGGCATTTGGCTGATGGTCCTGTGGATTTTTTACAGAAGATTACAGAAGATATGAAGCATGTTGTACTATTACAGATCCTTGAGTGGAACCGTTCTGAAAAGACCTCCTTTGTCTACCATCATTTTGCATATAGGATACCATATTTAAAAAAATAATAATTTGGATGCTTAGCCGGACGCGCTTGATGTGGTTTCAGTCTTGTTATCCTTTGAGCAACGAAGGGAAAAGTTAGCGTTAGTACAGAAACTCACGACTGCTCCAACTGTCCATTGATAAACTGGAAAAGGTGCAGTAATAGAGATCACCTGGAATTCAGAAATTCATTCTGACTCGCTGTCACAATGCGAAAGCGATACTTTCATCTCTTCCACTGGCTGAGGATCGTTTTAATCCTTCATATCTCTGCACTGTTTATGGTTTGGTAGAGTCTCTAATATTTGAAATATTACGTTTCGTGCCTCGATTTTGATTGATTCAAAATGCTCTATCACATCATCACAGAGAGCCCCAGCTTCCACGTGGTCAGAAGAGAAGTGGCACATTAATTTGAACCACTTGTGGAGAGGACAAGCAACTAAGCAGATCCTTGGGTCCGATCTGCAAGTTGCAGAGAGACTTAAGAGGCTCACAAGAATACAATGTGATTTGACTACTTCTGTCAGCTCAAAATTCTTGCACACAACATTAAGGGCACCTAAAATTAAGAATTTTCTATGGGCCTTTTCATAACATTTAAAAACATCAGCTGAGTGAAGACTCAATTGGCTGGCAGTATGTACAGTATTTATCATATGTAAGGCAACATCAAACTTTTACAGTATGCATTACACTGCCCAAAATGAGTTCCAAAACAAGAGTATTGTAGTGTAACAGAGGAGAGTCTATAGGGAGCGGACGATTCATGAGAAACGACAACTAGTCAAAAGCTTGTACCGTCTCTTAACTGCATTGAACCTCCAGATAATTAGATACAGACATGTAGCGTGCATCAGGTCACAAGTTAGAGCCAGTGTGTGCAAGACACTCAACAGCAGTGTATGAAGTGTAAGTGAGTCTGCAAGTCGTACTGCTGGGTGATGAGTCATCTTTTGCAGTGGACATGTTTTCAGAAGTTTTTCAAATGAAAAAAGGATCCGATGCCAGGATTATCGTGTTAAAGCAAATCCAAATGTATTTGCTATAGAAAGTCATGGAAACATTTGGAACATCCATAAAGAAATTTAATTAGACTTCATTTTTTTTCATCTCCTTATACGCATGAATTCTGTTTTGTAGAGTACGTAGTTGGTATTTAATATTTTAAATAGAGAATGGCAGGGGTTACAGTCAGCTGGAGTGTTTTACGCTTTGACACCAGAACATGACATGAACAGTCCAGTAGCCGAGACACAGAAGGTGGAGTCCCTGATTCTGTAAATACTGTGAAGAAAACAAATGAGGTATTTGGTTTAGATTTGCTCTGCTCTCCAAAGGTAACCAGAGAACATTTTTTTCCCAGAACATGCGCCCTGTAGAAAGTTCACTGAGTTCCCTCGAAAGCTCACAGATGTAACCGAGACTTTCTGTCCCCAATTATCCATTTTCTTTCCCGGTAACGGCACAAGTGTCCATATAGTGCACTCACGGAAATCATTTCCATCCATGTGTTTGTTAAACAAGTCTTTTTTTTTTTTAGCTACGAAGATGATCACTTGTTAAAATGAAAAATGAGGTTGAGTCGACTGCTGTGACTGCAGGGCCAGAGTCAGCGCATGGTTGGAAAGGTGGGTTGCAGAAAATGACCCTGCTTCCTATTGTAGCACCACTGGTTCCAGAATCGGGGTGTGACGTGCTGAAGGAGCACAGGGTGTCACAGTTTAGTGCCAGGGTACAGGGGGTGCAATCCTGCAATGGCGTACCCAGCCTGGGGATGCCAGAGCGGGAAAGGGTAGTGCCGCGGCCGGGGTGAGGATTCATACGGGACAGGGTAGGCGCCTGGAGAGAGATGGCGGTACATGGAGTCAGCCTGGGCGTGAGAGCCGGGTAGCGCCAATTGGGCTGGCAGGGAGTGGAGAAAGAATGGGTGTAAAGACAGGCCTTTGAGCTGGTGGGCAGAGGGTGGTCTAGTCCTGTCGTAGGCTGGGAGGAGGTAGGAGAGAGAGAGGCTGGCTTGGGGGTGAACCAGTGAGTGGGTAGGTAGGGGCTTGGGCAGCCCGGGTTTGTTTTTGTCCTTGGGCTCTCCCTGAGGGATAGGGGGAACCATCTGCAGTTTCTTCCCGTAGGCAGTCTCCTCTGGAGCTGGCCTCTTCAGCGCCTGCGGGAGCTTGTAGCTTGGATGGAAGGATTTGGGCTGGACCTTGGTGAAACTTGACATTGGAGGCACCCAGCAGGCTTTGGGACCTGCGGCAATGGAAGTGGAAGAGGACAGGTGCTGTGTTTTGACCGAGGGGTGTCCGCCCTCCTCTTTGCGGCCTGGATTCCACGGCAGCTCCGCCCGCTGGCCTTTGGACCCAGCACTCTCGGTCTGGAGAGGGCTGACTTGGAGGTGCTCCCTGGGGGGCCAGGGATAGCCAGCAGAGTCCTTCATACTAGGATAGCAGCTCAGGGGCTTGCAGACACCATTCACAAAAGGGGTGGAGGCAAATTTTCCAATGTAAGCTGGGGGTGCTTGTCTCTCGGGCTCTGGGGGTGTTCCACAGTCCTCCGGCTGGGACAGACAGTCTTCTGAAGTGGCGGAGCAGGCCGATGGGCTGGTGGAGGAGGACGGGGGCTCAGGTGAACCCTCAGAGGAATCCCTGGTTCGGCTGGGAGGCTGGAGTCCCGGGACCTGGGCACAGTGGATGACAGACGGCCGTCCTGTGCTGTCCTCTTCCGGGCTGGAACAGGAGCCAGCGGGGGCAGCTGCCACTCTGGAGGTAAAGTTCAGGTTCCCAGACTCGGTGGCCTGAGCCATCAGCTTCTTCTTCACCAGAGGTGAAATCACCCCGTGGCCTGTGGAATGGAGATTGGAGAGCAGGCTCTTGAAAGGCTGGGACACCAAGCATGGAGCAGCAGGTTGGTCCTTCTGAAGGCACGGCTCCCTGTCTTGCTTTGCACCATCCTGGCTGGGGTGGTCCGGCTTGGGGTTGTCTGATGGTGTGGGCCTGTGTGGAGCATGAAAACAGGTCCCGGCTTCACAATGGCTGCCGTCTTCCCGCTTTTCTTGTAGCTGTGAGAGAAGCCAGACAGTGGGCATTAGTACCTGTACAGCTTGTACTGCTTTCAACAGTGGTTACAAAAGCTACTAGCCTGTAACTTTCACAGTAGACCTCCTGTGGTTGATCAACATTTTGATTATATGAACTAAGTTATGCCTGTTCAATTAACATACCTGCTACAAAAGAGATATCTATGCATTTGTTGCATTTTTAAGCAATTTAGCAAGTTAAGCAAGTTAACCTCGAGTACAAAAGCACACCAGAGAAAATCAACATTTTGGTCTCTGGATATTTTAACCAGCCCAAGGGAAATTCAAGAATTAAAACATTTTGAAAAAGCAGTATTGCGGTCACCAGCTTTACCGGGAGCAGTATCAGACGGAAAATCCATACCTCGGCGCCACTACCCATCTCTCCCACTTTGTTGGGATTCTTCTTCTTGCTCTTGGCATCCTTGGTTGTCTTATACTGTTTCCGCGGCTTGGCGGGGGGCAGAGGTTTGTCCTCCTCTCCTCTAAGATGCCTCTCGAAAGGCAGCACCAGCCTGTGAGAAAACAGCAAATTGCTTACCCATTTAACAGTGCTTCGGTAACATTCTTGAGAATGGCAAAAGAGGAGGGAAGGAGGAAAATGAGAGCAGAAAACCAGGGCCGGATTTCGGTGTTCGTGGGCCCTGGGCACTTTCACTCCAAAATTAGCAAAAAGAGGAGTAAACGCCAACTGAATGACGTTGATTGACATGATGCATTTTAAACTACTGTAATGCTAAACCACGTGATTGATGGAGCGAGTCAAGGGACCGTCACTTCGATACTTCTAGTTTCTAGAACAGCCGCTAGATAGCGTATGATTATTGATTTGGAGCACCCGGAGTCGATCGCAAGCATGTTGTTTCAGCTCGTTTTTCGTTAGTCACTAGTGTTTCCCTCCTTCGTAGCCCCTAAACATTTTGTAGGCCCTAGAATCTGTGCCTACAGTGCCTAATGGGAAAGCCCTGCAGAAAACAGCAAGGAAGAAAACGTAATGGTATAATTTGATAGGAATCAAAGTAGGCAATTGACATCTATACATCAATGGTCAGGCAGTAAGGTTGGTGGAGATGTTTTAATTCCTGGGCACCACCATCTCCAACACTAGAAATGGGGGGTCAACAAATCAGTCAAGAAAGCTCACCAGAGGCTGGTCTTCCAGACAGTTAAAGAACTTTAGAGCAACCAATGACCCCCTTCTATAGAGCTGTCGTGAGAGTGTTTTGACCTTCTCCATCACTGGGTGGTGTGGCAACGCGTCTGCCCTGGACAGGAAGCAGCTAGAGAGGGTCGTGTAGATCGCCTCCAAAACTGAAGGACGCCATCTTTCCCCTGTGGACTCACTCTAATACCCTTGACTGAAGCGCAACGCTCTCGGCATCCTCGCCGGCCCATCTGTTTACCTTCCTCCCCACTGGTAGGCCGCTTAGGTCCAGCAAGACAAGGACCACTAGGTTCCATAACAGCACCTGCCCAGAAGCTGCAAGGCGTATAAACTCTGCACTTTCATTTTGATATTTTCGCTCGGGGCACTGTTATTCTCTCAGCCCTCATTATTATTTATTTTATTACTAGTGTGTGTGTAGTAAGATATGTGATGATGTGTTGGGCGTATGATGTCTATTATTAACTCTATGATGTATATTTGCACTGTATGCCTTTTAATTTTACAAGTTCACCAAACCAAACTCCGTGCAACTAGTTGTTATGGCAAGAAACTATTGAACTTCAATTTAGCCAGGTAAGTAAGCAAGCTTGGTCTGCCAGCTGGCCTAGAAGTACTGTATGTAGGATGAGTTGCTGGGAAGCTCACCTCTCATAGTGGCGGCGGGTACAAGTGGCAGCACTGGTGCTGCCTGGGCTACCTCCCAGCTCATCGTACACGTTCTTCCACAGCCGCCGGGCCGTCACCTGGGGGTAAGAAAGCACCCAGGTCAAAATTAACATTGTGAAGGACACTGCACCATCTCAAACATCCGCTGCCCAGAGTCTGGGTAGGCACGTTTACTTCACTACCGGACAGTGACCCAACCAGCACAGACCCTGCTGCAAAAGATCACAACAAAGAAAATAAGGTTTTGGAGAAAATGAGGCCTATAATCATGCGGACGTGAAGCAGCAGAGTTACCTACTCCTGCCTGAAGTCATACCCCTATATTGTATTAGATGTTTTGATTTTATCTTTTATGTCCTTGCAATATGCTGCAGTAGCTGTTTGCACAGCGAACGGCAGGTGAGCTTTCCCTTAAGAGAGTTTTAACCTTATAAACAGGATCCTCAGAATAAAGTACTAGTCTTGCCCAGCCCCCTCTCACCCTCTCCCCCAGTCAGCTGGCCAAGCAGAGCCCAGGCCTCCAGGGGCCTGAGAGGAGACAGAGATGAACATCCAGCACCCCACATTTCTGTACTGTCAGCACTTCCACCAGCCACACTACAGCTACAATTATTTTTTTCCGCAGAGTCAGGTAACCCAGACACCTGCTATCTGTGTCTTTGCCAGTCTTATTCGAAACTGGAAAGGAACAAGCAAAGGTTCATTCTATGCTGAAAGGTAAAGAAAAGAACCACTCTATTTTGGCTGTGGAGCTTTCTTCAGAAACAGTGTTTATTTTCTTTGCCTTTCTGCATGGAATGAACCCTTACCTGTTCCCTTGGCCAAATCATACTGATGAAGCTCCCTACTTGAACGTCTCCAATCAAAATTGGGCCTGTGAGTCTGTCTGTGGCAAAGCATGAGAGACAGTTCCATCCATGTATTCCTTGCCGTTAAAACTACAGCTTAACGTCACTGAGATAGTATTTAGACTACATTTAATACAGCTTCCACAGACTGCAGCTCCAAATATTTTCCACAAACTCTATCCAAAAAGAAGTTAGCATCCAGTCGTACCAAAATACCCAGTACTTCTTTGGCTTTTCAGATTTACAATTTAAGAATAGGTTTGCTTGATGCCCATGTATTACTGTATTTGGTATAACAGTCCCCAGGAAATAACCAGTAGTAACTACAGTATGTGGTAAAGGGCAATGTGTTTTTTTTTCATTTACCATACCTTTAATATTTTAATTCAGTCAGAATATGCATGGAGGCCTCCCTTTTAAATCAGGACCACAACATATGCAGTGGCTATTAAAAGTACTCCCACTTAGAGCTCAAACCTCAAACCAATCAAGAATCTTTGGCAGGAGTTGAAAAATGGTTTTCACCAAAGTTCCCCATCCAACTTAAGGGAGTCTGAGCAATTGTTCAAAGGTGAATGAGCAAACAATTGCAGTGTCCAGATCTGCAAAGCTGTGGTAGAGACTTATCCGAGAAGACTTCTGGAACTTCTGCCAAAGTTTCCTCGACCAAATAATGACTCAAGAGGGGGTGTGAATACTTTTGCAATCCGTTTTTTTCTGTTTTATAATCAATTTAGGAGAATCTGTAGATTTGTGGTTTCACCTTGACATCGACAGAGTGTTTTGAGTCAATTATAAAACGTGACAAAGTCCAAGAGGGGTAAATACTTTTGATAGCCACTGTATTTCTCAGTGTTTCACATGCAGGGTGATGGCAAGCTGGATAAGAAGCAATGGAGATGATGAATATTCACAGGTGAAGGAGTTAGAAATAAAAGAAGAAACTCCAGCATACCGTGTTTAGCAAATTTCACAGATGATTGCTTAAAAAAACTGTTTTGGTCACAAGATCTACTGTACAGCAGACGAATCTGTTTACCTACAGATTTTTTTGTGTACACCTGCTACAAGTCTGAGTAAGTGTGCAGATGTTCTAAATGTTTTTTAGTGAAAATGTGAGCAATAATCTTTTTTTATCCCTTTAAAAAATCAGGCAATGACACTTATGGAGTAGAAATTTGCCTTTACGATCTCCAGCAGAGTTGTACTGAAGTTTAGTTTCCTATGTATTCTGGTCGACAGAAACTCTTAATATGCTTAACATTTCTGACAGAGCCCACCTGAATGATGACATTGTTGACCTAATAAGACCTCTGCTACCAACACTGAGGATTCCTAAGGCAGTTTAGGTCCTACAACTAAACCTAAACTGAATTTAAGTGTGTTAGGGTGGGAGGTTGCTTATGGAATTGGGCTCACTGATACTGATTTGTTACATTATCACCCTTGGAAAGTGGGCTATGCTGAATTCTCCCACAGAGGGAGATCCACTCTTGGTGCAGTGGAATTCTCCCCTGTCTAAGGACTGGCATGGACATCAAGCTGCCCATGAGTGGCTGTGAGGGTATCCTCAGCAGGGCCCACATTAGGGCCATGACTTAGATTACAGAACCTGGTGTCAACCAGTCCCTGAGGCAGCTGCAGAGGAGATGGAGGAGTTTGGACTGGGAGAAGTAAACAAGGAACAGTGGCACTGAGTCTGCAGCAGAAGGTGATGCCAGGAACCACTGGTTTCTCCTTAGTGGGAGGACTGCCAATCATTTGGCATGATGGAATTCTCCACCGATGGGGAGTCAATGCCAGGGAACTGTTACACAGAGACAAAGGCTATAAGGCAAATCAAGGAATGAGCAGGAGTGCCACATGCATGGATCATTTTGCGTATGGCTTCCAGGCACTCCGAATAAAGCACAAAACTTATGCTGGCCTCACTGTTCTATTAACTCTTGTTGATTTAGTATCGCACTTCTCAATTCCGATGGCCAACATAAAGCAGAACCCTGGGCCCCACCCCACACCTTAACATGCTGTGAGTAATTGCACACACCCAATCGAAAACCACTGCGCCCACATACAGCACCTGTAAAAAGGCGCATAGAGAAGCACAGGCGGGCTCTATAATGGAAACTTCCTAAAGACACGATCAAGGCTGAGAAGCAGAACAAAGTCAGCCTTGGCCAGCTTGATCTTCTCTTTCACATCATAACAGGTGTCGGCCTGCTCTGCTGTATTCTTAACCCAACGGTCATTGTTCAATAAACCTCAGCCGTGTGCGCAGTGCAGATGTACAGAGACAAACCCCTTTCACGATTCTTTCCACTGAGATAAAAGCAAATGAAGAAACGGCGCCCTTGAGTGTCACATCTCTGACGCAATTTCCATCGGTCAGAAATGTATCTGTGCGCAACTGTGGATTCTTACTGAAGTGGATGCATGTCACCTTTGTCACATGGGCAGGTCAGCTTGCCTGTGTACCACATAGTATTGCATGACCTGCTTTAGCTGAATACTTCAAGCATCAACGTTCTGCAGTGCAATGTGAGAACAGGAAAGAAATGTGTTATTTGAATACTACTATGTAACGGACAGGAGATTTAAGTAAACCTGTTGATAGAACCTGTCGACTCCCATCCACATTTGCATGCTCTTCTGCAAATTTCACTAATGCTTTTCTCCCTTTTCAAGTGATTTCAACTGCCACCCTAAAGGTAATGTTGAAAAGACCCCGTTGAAAGACCTTACAGATATGACATTTATGCATCAAATTCTCGTGTGAACCTGTAACATTATCTCAATTTTACTTCAAAATCGTAAAACACTTCAAATAAGACCACTGCATCGATTCTAGCCTTGAAATCACATATTCCATCAATATGCACGCTTTTAAGAAAGTTTACACCCAGATTAATCTGATCTGCATAAGTATCTGGTGTGGGAGTAATGGAGAGGTCGTGATTTTACTGAAGTCTTTGAAAGGGATGTATGTGGTGATTTGGGTTGTTCAACAACTACAAAAAAAAATCATTAAAACGTTAAAGCTGTGGGGAAGGTAAACATGTGACCTTTTTTAACTTCCTGAAAAGAAGTATTAAACATAGAGTGAGGGAAAAAGAACGATGTTCAAATTGAAATTTAAAATGTTCTATGAAGCTATTTATGAACATGATAAAACTAATCTACATACACATTAGCGTTCTAATTATACTATATCTATATCAGATGCTAACGATCTCCCACATGCTTGCACATAATTACTGCAAACGACAGCAGAATCCTTGAGTGTAGGCGGAGGGTAATGTTGTGGATTGTTTCAGGAGCGCTGCATACACACATATAGAAACTAGAAACCCTGAAGTGCAGTTTCTCAACAATGAATATTTTAAGTAAACTGGAAACATCGCTGCTTGGAGCAAGCCTCTTCAAAATAATATACACAAACACATCTTCAAAGGTAATTTTAGGTTAAGATAAACACCATTTAAAATAACATTATAAATCCTGTGGGTTCTGCTTAGATTGTAGTCGTCATAAACACGCTATTCCCTTCTTGGTTTTTCTGGCCCTCTTGTCATTAATAATCATTCATGTTTGAGCTAATTTCTGAAGGTGGTCCCATGAACTTGAACTATTATTCCACCCACGACTTGTGGAATATGCAGATACAGTAGGACAGAAAAGTTACAGAGAGTAATTGGATCTGAAATCTGTAGACTTTCCATTAATCGACTCACTCTCCAGCCGTGTGCAAGGTTTCTATTTCATACTTCGATGATAGTAGGCTCATGTCCTACTGTACGCACTACGTAGCTCACATTGTGTAATTTTATGAATACACTGTATTCTGCAGTAAAACAAAAACATTCGCATCGCAGAAATAAAAATCCTCATGGATTAAACACCCAGAATTAATTCATGAAACGCTACTTAAGGAAGAGTTTCGCAGCCGTAAATAGTTCTCCCTTAAAATACTCAAGGACTAAATAGCATGAATTGTTTCAGAAAACTACTTAAGGAAGAGTTTTATGGCCGTAAATAGTTCCCACTCACGTACGCGTAAAGAATCCACGAATCCTGTTTTTCTTTTAAGTCACTCGACTGTTAAATTATGTAACAGCGGCCTTTATGGTTTTGCCGATTATTCTTAACACTGTTTCAAATCAGAAACAAAAACAATGTGAAGTCAAACGAAACAGGTTGAAGAAAAGTAATTAATATCTGGAGGAATAAGATATTTAAGTTTAAAAAATAAAGCAAAGTATGAATAACTTAAATTCTAACAGTAAATTTCACTATGTGGATTACAATACACGTTTTACTTACAGAATCATATCCCCCCAGCTTATTCACAGCCTTGTAGATTTTCCAGAGATTTACTGTGGAAAAGAAGAACACAGATAATTGTTAATTAGCATGTTGAAATTACAGCTATAAGGAGACAGTATGGAATGCACCAACAGAAGTTATCATGAATCTTAATAGAGCCTTATGGTCCAAGAGTATGTTATACACAGCCTTGTAACTAAGGTGCTGAAACTTACATTACCAGTTAAAAGGCAACCATAATGCACTCCAAAATGTTTTATCAGAGCATTCTGTTAGTATTAGATGGAAAATATTATCTTATTTGGACACCACTTTATAGAAATGATTGCTGATCTGGACTCAATCCAAAGGAAAGAAATCAGGTGCATTCTAGGGCTTGTAGGAATGTTCTGCACTGACACGCTAAAGGAAATTAACATTGTTGGACTTGAACATAGAAGACTGATCAAAGTATTCAAAATCCTCCAGGGCATCAGCAAAGTCAAAATAGTGGACTTCTTCAGAATGTACGCTGAAACACCAACCAGAGGACGCAAGTGGAAATATATAGGAAAGTGTGAACACAAAGCACTCCTTTACCCAAAGGGTTGTAGGATTCTGGAACGGGGACTCAGTCATTTTGCTGGAGCTGATGCCCTTCCATCCTTCAAGAAACAGCTGGATGGGATCCTTGGATCAATTAGCTATCAATACCAAACAAGCTAGATGGGTCATATAGCCTCCTCTCAATAAGCTTTCTGATGTTCTTAAAAAGAGGAGACTGTAAATGTTTCATAACCACCTCTGATCTCATCGGGAGAGAAGTGGTTACAGAAAACAGAATTGAATAAATCATTTAGAGATGATAACATTGTGCAGAAGGTCAGTTTACATGGAAAAGAGGAACTGAAACTGTTTTTGTATTTTCAAAGCATGTTGTTGTATCTTGCCTTGATCCCACCAGCAGCCTGCTGTAATTCTGTATTCATCCCAGCCCACAGACTGTCAGTGCTCTATCTCTGCTGAGGGAGCACGTGAGATCAGAGGACTCCAACACTTTACTTTTTTGTTCAAATTATAGCTGATAAACAGCTAACAAAACAACATCTGGAATAGCAGTCCTTAAGAAACAGCACAGCTGGAGAAAAGCACAGTGGGTAACATACAGTATGCTGAGCTCTCTCAAATGCATTCTCCCTGAATTGTGCTTGACAGATGCTCTTTTCTGGTGTTGAAGCTGGGATCTGAGGGTAACAGACACTCTCCTCCTTACTCTGGACTTACTCTGCTTGAAGCCCAAGTGTGGTATCCTTTCGATGGGCGTGCTCCTATCCTTCATGAACCTGTACAGATTGCTCAGAAAGTTCTTCTCTTCCACCTCAGATTGGCTAGCTCTGATCCGGTCGTCTCCGCTTTCTGTGGAGTCGGAAATTTCCATCTCACTGGTGTTCTGGAGCAGATGGAAGAAGACAGAGTCTTATTTATTTTTTCTGTCAAAAGTGCATTCTTGACTTCACATTTCAGTGTTTGCTGGGATTGGAATATTGGAATTGCATCCTCCAATGCAGAAGAAACAGGCTGAACATATTTTGTCCTTTGTCATCCCACTGTTCACACTGTACACATTCACACTCTTTGTGGCCAAGGAAACTCATTCAGACCTTTCATGTCCACCAAACAGGCTATTTGATTATTTTAAAAAAATAGTCTTACTTCAGAGTTCAGAAAATTAAATTGCAATTCACAGTGCTTTTCAGAAATTATCAATGCAACACTGTTCCTAAGGTGGTTTACTCATATCTGTAATGAAACTCTGACTAGATCTGACTGTAAAGTACTGAATTAATCTGAATTGTCTAATAATGCAAGATTCTCAGTCAACAGATCTGTATCAGCTTGCCTAAACTGGTAAGAACAGTAAGAACTGGTTTTCTTCACAGTTTCAATCTTCAATATTTGAGTGTCCTTATCAAGTCATAACTGCCTTGGGAATAACCCTGGGGTATTATTTTTTTCAATGTGCCCTCTATGGAGGGGTATTGATACTGGCACACTGTCATGTACCAGGAACTGGAAAATATCACAACCTAAAGCTTGTGCCAGGATCCTCCATGCCAAAAACTATTTGGGAAATAACACTGAGTCCTCCACCATTGACTGTTTAAGAAACAATGAGGGTGAATTCCAATACAAGCAGGAAATTATACAGTTTCCTCCAATATTATCAGTAGAAAGAATAATAAGACAACTGTGATCGCTCCTGAAATTTGTCATCGAAACCTTTGAAGAAAGTTTCACATCCGAGAAAAATCGGAAAAAAACCTCCTACAGTTCACACTAGCTACTGTTCTCAACCCTTAACACCACTCCCACCCCCCAGCCTCTCTCTGTTCATAGCGATTTCACTTGTTTATTTCGAAATGTTATTTGCATCACTGTAAAAGACATCACCTGAACAGATAAAGAGAAGCAGTGATTGAGTTTCACCATTTAGGTCACCAGATATCTAAATTACACTGAGTTTTCCAGACATTTGTCTTCTTACTTATCAACAGTCCTCCTACATGTGTTATGTGTGATTCTCTGCCAAGACTGTTATTTGTGATGCTGTGCCACTGTTTTCACATAATTGAGGTTCTATAGGAGATTCTTCAACACTCAATGAAGGCAAGAACTTCAATGGCTCACAGTCCTCTACCAATGGACAGCTATTTCCCCTTCCCTGTCCCCAACAACATGCAGTTAGTGGTTGCTGCAGAACAGTTTTTCTAAGTACATTTAATAATAAGGAAAATTAAGGAAAAAATAAACTTTTCAGAATGCACAATAAATGGTAAAGAGCAAGAACACCAAACAATTGAGATATTTAAGTCAAACGTTTTTACCAACAGTCGGTTTGATTCAATATCTCTGTTTGACTTCCTGTAAATAAATACATTATAATATGCTGCAAACCATACATGAGGACTGCAGACTAGCAGATGGTCTCCATATCTTAGTAGTCTTACACTAAGATGTTTTTTACTTTTACCACACTAATGTGTCATTCCTTTACAATGAACCTCCCTTTATTCCCTTGGGTGTTACATTTTAAAAACAACCAAATCCAGTAAAGAACTTTAATTGAATAAATGTCTTACATGGTAGATTAATCACTTTTATTATGAGACACATCTGCCATATGATGTCAGAGGGATACACTTGACTTGAAACTGATTATAAGTAACATGAAGGCAGATTCTAGATGACTGTAGATCTTCATCTGACATTCAATGTATTAGAATGAACTCAGAATTTCTTAAAAGGGGTCTAATAATAGAATGTGAGAGGCAGAATCTGTGCCTTTTTTATACAATGTGCTTTCAATGTAACCGCCTACTACATAAAAAGAATTCAAGACATTGAATTCAATAAATATCTTTTCATCAAGTAGCCCAGACTTCACATCAAACACAAACTAACTGTCTTTTCCAACCCAGAAGATGCCTCGCCCGCCAAATTAAGTTCCATCCTGCATTCAATGAACCTGATTATTGAACATCAAAATGCTAATGAATCCAGTGACCGCATGCAGGAGTCAAAAGGCCTGTGGGTTTATTTTATGTATTGGAAAACTGTTCTCATTAAGAGAAAGAATCAATACCTCAGTGCAGTTCTATTTACCAGTAGTAATAATGCCATAAGACATCAAACTGAATGGATAAATAAATAAGCCTCCAATATAAAAGACCAACTCCCTTGCTCTCAAGTAGCATATAGATATCTCTCCATGTCAAGTTTGCATTGCCTTTATGAGTTATTTCATTCCATAACCTACTCATATCATTCCATGTCTCCTTAATGATCCTTGTGTTGATGCTTCTGATGAGTCTGCTATTTGCTGTGTACAACCTCCTAGCGGTTTTCAGGAGTTTCTGCTGAAGTTTGGATGGGAAAATAGCAATCTTAGCAGAATAACAGGGAGAGAGAACTGCACAGGTCCACACAGAAAATTAAATCTTTCAGAAATAAAAAAATAAGAGGATCTGCATATCACCTGCTTCATTAAATGACTTGACTATAAAGAAACCTCTGTAGATTCTTGGATTCCTATGGAATACTTATTCGTCTGCTTCCACAAGGTGAGTCAGATTTATGGTGCAATATTTAAAGATTCTTACCACAGGAAACTCTTGTAATACATCAGAAAGTAGAAAAAATTCCGTAATTCTAGCAGGGAGTCATCTTTCAGTCTTCATAAAAGTCACATTTTTGTCTTTTACAATGAATCCTAGTCAAATTAATCAATTTTTGTGTCTTCCTATTGTGTTTCTCTGTAACTACTAATACAGTATGTTAATGAGATACAGTACCTGAACACTTAAATTACTGGTTCAATACTATTACAGATATATACAATAAAACAAGGTAATTAATATATAGTGATAATACAGTATATACTGTACATGGCTGATCCAATCCTTGCTTCAATATCTATTTTTTCTCAGTGATTGACACTATATTTGGAAACAAGTTACTGGACTTCTCTTTACAAGCTTTTCTCACGTTCTTGTATGTTCTTAGAAATACAAATTTAGAAGCTACAGAAAAAGAAACGGATTTGTCCTGTTATCTCTTCTCTACTCAACACACACCCTAATCACACCAAATGTTTTTTTTTTCATAATCCCTAATTTCACCCAATTTAATACCTACAGTACAGTATTTTCACCCAATTTCACATCACATCATGAGGAAGTATTGTCAACCTTCTATTTTAACGGAGAGGTCTGTTTGTCCTGGACAATCTTTTAGTTTTCTCTCGTGCTGTGGCGTGAATGGCGGAATTGGACAAGTCATTCACCTGTTTCTCTAGTGAAAGCAACAAACACTCCAGGACCAGGGTGGCAGAACCCAAGGATGAAGATTAAACTGATCTTCTTTTGCTAGGAAGGACTTTTATTGCATCTCCAGGCAACAGGCAGCACAGCCTCAAAAATAACTCTCTGCTTGCTGCGTTTTAAGCCTCTGTTGCATCAGTGAAGACAGAACAAACTGAATTCCCACAGCTGGTCTCCCGTGCTCAGGGTTAGCAGACAGGCTGCAGTGAGAAGGTTTCACAGTGAATCGAGTTCCTTTCCTCAGCAACAGTTACGAGAAGCCTGGCCCCTGGTGAATCATAGTGAAGCTCTCAGCTCGGGCTCGGGATAGCCCTAACTGAGTCACCACGATGCACAGCTGCTCCACTTCACTCCTATCTCACCCTCCAACAATCATCTCACACGCTTTTCATTCTCCTCAAACTGATTTTCGTCTTGACCACAAACTGCAGTGTGCAGAATTGTCTGCCATTTCCTGCAAACCCATAATAGCCTCTCTCTCTTACATGTGCTGGAACATTTTTTTCTCCTTTCTGACATGATTATTGAAAGTGTGAATACCTCAAATGATGGTGTGATCCTCCATTTAGCCTATATAAGAGCAACAAGTAGCAGATTAGCACAAGACCACAGAAAGATGGGTGATTCAGACCTAATCTGCATCCCAAACCTTGCAGTGTTTTAAGGGGTGTCTCGTTAGATTCAGTTTGCAGTTTACTCACAGCTCAAAGGCGCCGGGAGCCGTGGGAAGTTGAAGAGGTCAAATCGGATTCGTGAAACGGAATCAACAAAAGAATGCTGGGATGCTTAGCTATCCGGGTGGCTCATTTATACTTTTTCGTCCACCCTTGCGTTTTCTCACTGCTTCTTCCAATGCACGGTCGCGGGGGAGCCAGAGCCTATCCCAGCAAGCAATGAGGCGCAAGGCTGGACACACTAGACGGGACGCCAGTCCATCGCAGGGCACATACAAACACACACTCTATCCCACCAGGGCCAGTTTTCCCAGAAGCCAATTAACCTACCATTATGGTTTTGGCCTGTGAGAGGAAACCCATACAAACACGGGAAGAAGATACAAACTCCATGCAGACAGCACCTCAGGTCTGGAATTGGACCAGGGCCAAGGCAGCAATGCTACCAACAGCACCATCATGCTGCCCTAGTTTTACTTTATGTTTTAAAGAACAGTTTTTTCAAGAAACGTTTAATGACATCACCAATAGATGATTGGTCATGAGAAAGTACAATTCATTACACAATACACATCACTGAATGGGCATGATCACTGCGAATAATTTGTTCAAGGGATTTTGAGAAAGGTTTTGACGAATTTACTGTAATACTTATGATGTAACCCAATACTGCATCAATGATGCACATTCATACCCAGCTATCACCTTACATGGTACTAAATCAAATAAGATGCAAAAGAAGATAAAAATTCAAAGTTTCTTTCTGTCAGCCTAAGATACAGTACATGTTCTTTTTTTACTCTGAAAGTGTTAAAAAAACCATTTGGTCTGAGAAAAAAGTTTGTGAACCTATACCCTAGAGTCCTGGGATGCATCTTCACACTTGCTGTTTTGCCTAGAAGCGAATTTTACTTTTCCTGACTTAAATTGAAACACTAACATCTCTCTCCACTCTGACCTTTTAGACAAATATTATCAAAATGTGGGGTGGGGGGCTGTGGACAAGGGGCTTATCAGTGTGGCAGATTCTGAGAATTAAGAATCAGAAAGCAGGAAATGAGCCACGTCGCTGGATGGAACTTGTGCTGACCAAAAATAAACTCTGACTAACCATACAGTCTCATTTCTACAGAGGTCTTAACTTAAGAGGTTCCATCAGTGGAAATAAAAAGGTAGCAAACTGCCACTGCAGCACAGACACTGACCTTCCAGATCAAACGCTCTCAAACAGCAATTCACACAGTATTTCTGTTTTAGACCTGTGACATTTTTACTTCATGCAAGAGGGACACGTCAAATAAAGGCAGTATGCATTATTTTCCAAAGATAAGCCAACACTGTGCACTAAGGAACTTTTCCCATCCACAGTACATGCGTTAAAATAAAAAATTCCCTGCAATTTTCTTTCTTTTGTGACAATTCTAAAGTTTGCATTTTTTTGCTATTGACTTGATATTGCCTATTGTCAGTCACCATTAGTCAACTCAGCTTATTTCTCCAACGCACTTACTAAAAGTAAAGAGGAAGACTGCAGGCATACATCCTCTCAAATTTGCATTATCAGGTCATCTGCTTATTCATACCAAGATTCAAATTGCTATCTGGAGAGCTAGGGCATCAGATGGAGATTGTTAAGCAATAACCTTACATGCACACAGAAAAATGGTAAGGCAGAGGAATTGATGTTGCAATGTAACTTGAGTTTACACTAACCAACTAAAATCTCTGTGGTAGCTGACCAATGAATAATGTATGCTGTATTTCTATTGCAGGTAACTTGGAAATTAGCATTACTGTCTCAGATCTCTTAGGTCCTGGGTTCTATTCCAGACTGGGGTACCTTTTTTGTAGCGTTTACAAGTTCTCCCCATGCCTCCGGATACACTGGTTTCCTTCCATCTCTCAAAAACATACTGGTTAGGTTAACTGGTGCTCTCAAGTGTGTATCTGTGTACTGTGTTAGTATCTGGTATTCATTCCAGTATGTAGCCCTGCCCTGCACCCTGTGCTTCCAGTGATAGGCTCTGGGTCTCCAGCATCTTTTAGAAATAAGGGGCTTCCTAATATTTCTTTGCAGATCTCCACATGCCAAATAGTGTGCCACCATAATGACTGGCTCTTAAAAGATGCTGACAGCTCAAAGGAGGGATCTGTGCCTCTCGGGCTACCTCAACCTTGGGAATTCAATGAAAACATTAAAAAATCATTGCGTAATTCTTCATACCTAAACAAAATCCGTCAATAAAGGTCTCACTGAGCCCACACTTAGAACATCTGACAATTCCCGTCTTGGACAGGACGTGATGCTACAATTTGTAGCATCACTTCCTCTGATGCCCAAATTATTCTTTTTAACTCAGGCTTTTATACTGTATGTGTGTTACTCCATCATTTGAAAAAAAAAAAAGAATTGTGTTGTGAAACACAACCGGTAAACATCCTATTCTAAATTTCCACGGCAATCGAATTTCGGAAAAGTGTGTGGGAGCTGTTGATGTCAATGGGCTGATAAAGCCTTGGTGCTATGATTGTTTCGCGGCACACTGGGTTTCGATGTTATCACCCGGCCAGCTTTAACCACACAAACCACCACGTTTTCATCTCACAACCTGGTCCTGGAAATTTGATGCTTTGCTATTTTGCTCTTCTTTTTTTTTTTCTTAGCTTCAATTACCAGAAGCCTCTGAAGCCTGGAACTCCAACTGTTTCTTTTTCTTGTGTTTTTGTGTGTCATTCTGCAGACATCTGCACATTCTCAATGGCTTCTGGTCACACAAAGGACCCTGACAACTGGCAGGGAAACGGCCTAGAGAAACTGGCTTTGTTGAGGTTGGGCTGGTGATGCTTACACTATGTTTCGGTACTTTTCTAAAATTGTGGATTGTTTTCCCAGGAAAAGAAAAAAATCCAGAGTTCTATGGGTTCCCTGGAATCTAACCCCACAGAAAAAAGGGTCCCAACTGCTGTGGACCCCAAACAATTCCAGTGTTTGCGCTAATTAATGTTCCATGCAGATGATACGATAAGGACATTACACATGTTTAAAAAGGGACCCACAGTTAAAAGACCACCAAGCTTCTAGTATCCGAACAAGAAAAATAGGAAAAGTGTCATCCTCAAAGGCTTTGGACATGTATGATTTAAATCTGAATGTAGGAGCAAACCATACACAAAAAAATGACATTCACTATAAGCTGGAAAGACTTTACTCCCTAGATCCTTTTGTACTTCTTCAAATAATATTGTTCTAACACACCAAACTCAGGAGGACAGTCCTTAGTGCAGTCTCAATATGTATTTGTCAGAGGGAACTGCTATAGTAAAACCAAAGCACCAAATTTAGGAAATGCTGTCAAATGCCAGTAATTGCACTTGATTGCAATCAGATTGGACTACAAATGAGAAATTAGTTCACTAGAAAACATTAAATGAGAACTTTGTGTTCCCTTGAACACAGCCAGAGGATGCTGCCCTTGTCCCATTCATTTCCTGTTCATAATGCTGTAGTTGCAGAATCTATGCCAAATCAGAATAAATCTGAAGTTTCACCTTTGGTCTTTCCAAAGAATCTGACTCTTGGCTCCTGTACATTTCAAAATTAAACCATACCAAACTGATGTTTGAATGCTGAAACTGTAGGTATGGTATACCTGCCCATTTGCATTTTTAGAATTCAAAATTGAGGTCTGGATTATAAAACCATGTACACGTCACACAGGATCAAGGTCAAGGAAAGACTCCAGAAGAATGGTGTGGGATAGAGGCCATGTTCCTTACCTGGCTCAGGTTCCTGTCACTTTCCTCAGAACTGTCTGCCTCACTGGAGTCCCTTGGGTCTGGCTTCTTTCTGGGCCGACCTTTGGGCTGTGACACTGCCGCGTAAACACAAGAGCACAAAGCACACACAAGTGAACAGGAGCAGCCACGATAGTCCACCTGTCAGGCCCAGCAGAGGGTGCTCACCCTGAAGGGCGCTGCAGTCTGTGTTGGTCCTTATGCCCCAGTACAGCGATGGAGACACTACACTGTAAAAAAGACGCCGTCCTTCAGACAACACAAAACCTAGGTCCTGACTCTTTGTGGTCATTAATATCCCAGGGTGTTTCTCGAAAAGAGTAGGGGTGTGAACTCCTAAATTTGTCCCTGGCCTTTACCAATTATGACCTACTAATGATCCCTGTTTACGAATTGGCTTCATTATCCTGTTCTTATCCCCACTGATAGCTGATGTGTGTTGAGCGTACTGGTGCACACATTGGTGGTGGTCCCTATTGCCTGTAAAACACCATATAAGTGTATCATCATCATCATCATCATCTCTCAGCTTTCAATGTCTTCTCTTACTAAGCTACATTTAAATGTATTTTGCTCTGGCAAAAAAAAAATAATTAAACAGGTTAACAATAAGATCGACCTCAAAACTTTCACTTTACACTTTCACTTTCCTGTACAGGGGCGAAAAAAACACTTTATGGACTAACAAGTTCAAATATAGTAGGTTAAGTCCTCTGCATCACCAGATCACAATTGCAAACAAGAACCCGTTTAATCACAAAGCTAAGATTTGAGACTACTCATTCTGATTGGAGTTCTTATTCACTTAATTAATTCAATTAAGTCAGCAGGAGGAATAAAAAACAAAAACAAGCACAGCACTGAAGCACCAGGATTGCTTACCACCGGGAATAAAGCAGCCCACTGAACTAAGGATCTCATGAAGTCAGTTCTTCATGGATTATAGCCAACTGGCATCAACAACATGTCAAGATTTTTTAAAAAAATATCAGAAGCAGAGTTTGCATTTTCACTGCATGCCAGCCCCCATGTCCCCAAGTACTTTGGTCTGCAATACAGAAATAGCACAATCATCCTGGCAAAACTGTGTTCTCAGGGGGCTTTTATAAATCTCTCTCTACACTTTCAAAAATATGGGGGAATAACACAGATGCCGAAATGAAATTAGAAATGACCTAAGTGGTGACCACTTGTCTGATAAGGTGTGTAGGACACAAGAGCTGGTAAATGTCTAGGTTCTTAAAAAGAAGCATTTAAGTCACCTTCTCCTTGGTGGAGATCCCCTCCATGCATCATCGCTGAGCAGTCACTGAGTGACGACAACAAATATTCTACAGTTGTCAATTCCAGTTGATTGACAAACCTGTGAGAAATTTATGGAGAGGTCGAGGGGTAATTTCTTCGCCCTTTTGGTTTTATTTTTAGGAAACAGATGCAGTCACACTCATTATGACCTCCTCAGGTAGCGTGAGAACAGGCACTAAACAGGCAGTTTGAACAAGCCGTTCATTCTGATTAAACCCAAGAGCTGAACAAGTTTCTAAGAAATCAGACCCTCCCCACCCCCACCGCATTTACGTCTCTTCCCCCCCCCAAAACAGGAAGCCCTAGATATAAAAACCACACAGTTACAACACGACCACTTCCTGACTGCGAGCTGAACCACAATAAACGCTGCCCTTTTCTGATATTAACAACGAAAGAGGTACAGTAAATGTGGAATTGAGTGCTGAAAACAGAGACTTAAAAATAAGACTTTTGCTTGTTTACATATACCGATCTGACATAAATATGAAATTAGTACTGGGGGGTGGTTAATGAATGAAAATGAAGAGACCTATCCAGTTCTACAGCACAATCTTACAGTCTCCTAACTGACTCAAAATTTCTTCTTAAAAACAAAGAAACTGCAAGTTTTATTACATATGGTACAAATGACAATACTGGAGTTTTACAGATAGTCTTATCCTATCTTTAAGTTGATGCAGATCCGAGATTGACATATACTGTACCACACAGGAGATAAAAGTAAGACTTGATAAAAATACTGTATAACCTGAAGATCTGGACATGATCTAATACTCGAATACGCCCCCTGAAAATATCAAGAACAGACGAGCAATTGTTATCGTCTCATCTTTACCGATACTGACTCCACATTACAGTTATCGCTGCACCTCTTTCTTCACTATCGACAACGACATCTATCTGCCAGTTAGTTTTGGTTATTTGTTTATCAATTGGCTTGTTTACAAACCTCTCACCTCAGAAACCGCATCTGCCCTGTGACAGTCTTTCCTCCCCCACACTCTGCTGTGTGCACCCTGCTCTCGATATCGCCTAATCAACAACAATGAATTCACTTGACAGAATTGCTTCTCTTTCGAGATCACACATTTCCTGTGCAGTGGAAGATTGCTGCTTTCTATATGACTTCTCTTTAGAAGTTATATTTATATTTTAAACTTCCACTGTAGTTCCCTCTCACCCACGAAGAACATCCTGCCAATAAGCATGACCCCTGGCATGAATATGGGACAGTGGAAGAGGACCTATTACAAATAAACAGGGAAGTTAATAAACCAGGGGAAATCCACTGATCCTGAGCCAGCTACTTTTTCAATTAATTACATTTATACAGCGTTTTTCAACCCAAAGTACTTCAAACACAGAAGGGGCGCAAAACACTACTTGTTTGACAACTCCAAACTGTAATGTAATGATCACATAGTCAGGACCTCTGTTTAAAATATCATCCGAAGGATGGGACCTCCCTCCAGCACAGTGCATCCGGTCATACAGGGCAACTGGATAGGAAATTCAGGGAAAGAGATGGAAAGGGGATGAGCGCCACCTGTCGGTCCACTGAAGCGCTTAAAGTTGCAGCCTGGGTCTTCTTAGAAGCCTCCCACCTCAGTACTGACCAGGCCCAGCCTTGCTCAGCTGCTGAGATCTAAGGAGACCAGCCTTTAAGGCAACAATGCTGATATCAGGGCTATTTCTGCCCAATATAGGTAACCAGTTAACAACACCTACATTTATTACAGTTTTATTTCACGTTTCTCATGCTGCGTACGCGGTTCTCCCTCTTCATCGTGATTTTGTTTTGCTGCATTTATTAACGTTCATCTCACAAGCCAGCTGTATAAAAACAGCAGAAAAAAATGACAACTTGACACCGAAGAGAGGAAAACGCGCGGGGAGGAATTTCAAGGTTGCGCTGGAATCGTGCTGATTACTGATGGGACTTTTTTTTAAAGACTTGTTGGTTGACCTGTCTTTTGACAGAATGAGAACCGACACCGTTCCATAAACAAAACATAAGAAAAGGACACCAGCCACCTTCTATTTCCTCTATGCAGTTTAATTACCCTTTCCAGTGAGGATAATTATTTTTACACAATGGCATTTAGTTCTAATGTGGTGGTTCTAACAAGGTGGATCTACTATTTTGCACACAATCATTAATTCTGCCAGACACCCTTTTTAGCTCTATACAGGAAATACAGCTGAGAAGCTGATGTCTAGCAAGGGAGATGAGTTTCATATCGTCCTGGACAACACAAAGTTCCAGTGACCTCTAGAAACAAGCACACATTCTCCGAGAGACCCACATACAGGATTCTTCGAGTTTTTTTTTTTCAAATTAACCTAGGGCGACACTATGCCCTGATGTCCAGGTCCAAACATCACTTAAACAACCGTTTCCCATCTGTCTGTAGATGGTGATGGTTCCTTTCCACGTGTCAATTCCAAACAAGGAGTCTGTGTTAAAAGTCTCATTACATCTGCGAGAATCTGGAATTCGCCGAGGTGTATTTACGACAAACGCTCATATAGGAAAATCACGGGGCTCAACGTCACAGAGAGCTCATGCATTAAGAACATAGGGAACTAACTGTCTTAGTCTGAGGGCTAAGGAGTTATTTTAAACATATTAAATATTTTTAATGCACAAAAGAACAAGCCACTAGCATTTTATGAAAAAGTTCCTCCTTAATCCGATTATGCAATATAGTCGCTTGATCATGGCAACAAACATTTCTTAAGTTCTGTTCTAAAAAAAACAAACAAGGATTGGTTCTTCAGGTACAAGCTGCAGCGATTTAGGGAAGAAATATTATTATTATTATTATTATTATTATTATTATTATTATTATACCGTTAGAAAATGTTATTATTTTAATTTATAAATACTAAATACAGTAACAGTATTTACAATAATAATACTTCTTATGATTGTGTTATGAATGTAACTGCTTATAATTCTGTTATCAATACAAAACAAATCAACCGACATTCGAGACGATTCAGTGATTTTAAATAATTGTGATTTGCTGATTGCGTTGTGTTTTTGGCGCAATGCAATTTTGGCTAAATTTATATTCTCAGCCCTTTTTGGAAAAAAACAACAAGTTGATCATCTCATTTTTGCTTTTTTTAGTAGGTCTGTAAACGACTCACCCTTTAAAAGTTCACATGTAACTATGACTAGACAGTTAAAATAAAACTGCTGCAATTCCCCCTGTCGAGCGCAATTTCCTGAGGCGAAATCCTTATCTGTTACCTGAGCGTCTCTCTTACCTGAACCCAGTACCATTAAAACTCAACAGCAGTTCAGCAAAGCGAAGAAAGCTTCCTCCTCTTAATGAGTCCGACAGAACATTAAGCGCCTGTGGTGCTTTAGTTTGACCACTTCCTCTCTTGTACAAACATCAGTTCCACGGTAATTCAATTTCTGATAAATGGGTCTAACTGCTGCTGTAATCTGTGCCTTATTTAGCAAGCAACTACAGTATCTCGTCAGTCACAATACATTCGCACCTGCCGAACACACAAACACTTATTTCACAACGCAGAAATGAAACTTCAGCAGAAATTCTGCTGCCGTCATACTTGTAACAAAGTTGGAACGCATGCATTCAAGTGTTACTGGGAATGTCACTGTCGTCAACAAACGTAGCCGCAATTGACAACTCCGAAAGATTTAAACACAACTAAAATACTTGTCATCGTAGAACAATATACTGACGTGTTCATCGACAATAAAAGTAGTTGTTGCTGTGTGTGTGTGTTTGTAATCTCTATAGAGGGATGTATTCCGCAAGGTCATTGCCTACTGATGCCTAATCAGACGTCAACCCTAAAATCTCTGAAACGCACAGAAACGCTGATGTTGGAAATTCAAGCATCTTTCGATGAGCTTGGATCCTATCAATCTCCTCACTGGGTCTACGGCGAACTGTTTTTCAAGCGTCGCACTTTAAGTCACAGAAACAACAGGACAACAGTTTAAAAAAAGAGTAACAAATCAATGAAATCGCTAATCAGTGAAGATGCGGCAACACGAAGCAATAAAAAATAGCAAAGAGAACACTCTGGCATGACTCACTGTCGGTGTTTTACAACCAGAGCACTAAAACAACTATAACAGTACAGTTCTAAAATACTTCCTTCATACAAATTATTCACAGGACAGAACGTACGTACCCATTTCAAGCAAAAGTTTCTATAAAGGTTTAACTAATTCTGTCGCCAGTTTGTTTTATCATCTATTCTCTTCCATAGCGTCCAGTCCCCCGGTTACTCCACACAAGCGCTTTACGACTAATGCACATACACGAACTGTCCATTTCCAAATACACAGTGCAATTTCATAGACTAGAGGCTGGTGCGCGTTATGCTTCAGATATCCCCTGCCCCTTTTGTTCGCAAGGTGTACTGGGAGTTGTAGTTTTAAAAAGGGCAGTTACTTTTCCGAACGTTCCTCTGTATTGCCGATCAGATCAAATGGATTTTAAAAACGGGTTCTCGTATTCCACATCTGAAGCATCATCTTTCTAAAGCAACTTTGTCAATGTAACACAGTACGCTTTGTGCTTGCCCTGCGTTATTCAAAAGCTGAAATAAGCTGTTTTTATTAAAGGAAGGAAACGGCTAATCACCAAAATCTCCTTCCCCCCCAATCCCACCTATGTGAAGTCTACACTATTTTTGCAGGAGGTTCACATTTAAGAGAGTTTTTCTACATTTATGAATAAAATATCAAAGTGCCATCCGCGCAGTTAAATAAAGTAATACACTCTATAAACACGAGTACGAGTGTTCCTTAATGATTTCATTCATATACTATGTAAATATTTATCTTAAAATTGAAAAGCAGAAAAAAACGTTAAACGTAATAATCACATATAAGCCATACAATGTATCTGTTAAAATAATCTCAATATTATCTTCATTATAATACTAAGCAGAACGTAAGGAATGAAAGTGGGTTAAAAATATAGCTGCGGTGTACTAAAACAATACATTAGGAATGAAAGATCTCTGTTCATACCCAAATCTATGTCTTGTTGAAGCAAAATAAGTAGATGGAAAAAATATGACTTACCAAACAGTGAAAACAATTCCAGGAATTGCTCTGAAAGTTACATTTTATTTATAATGCGCTATTTGCTTTACAGATATTGTAATTGTAGAGTTAAAATTGGAAATAAATGCTTGTTGAGCAATGAGCACGGTGGTAATGTTGGAACAAAGGAGAAACACCCGCGCTAAATGTCAGGGTTTAAGCAAACGCTGGGCTAAGTGCATTTTTTCTGGAAATTCCCCACACTGTAAGGGTATTACAGTGAATCTATTTCACTGCTGGGAGGGCAATGCAGAATTTATTTTGATCGAGAATAACACAGTGTGGTACTGTAGGTTCTGGGGGAGGGATACATAAAAAGTTGTGTTGTGCATTTTGGCTTCTCTTGCTGTTGTGATGCACCCATGCAGACACCTCCCAGAGTCTGAATGTTAAAATAATTTGTGTGTTTAAAGGTGAAACAGTGCTGCCTTCTTTTATTTACTGTTTAATTAATGTGCAGTATACATGTTACAGTAAGAATGGAAACCATTAATTTCACAAAATCCTTCTATATTTAACCATATATGTAATGTATTTCCTGAAACATTACGGGATGCTGCTATCTTCCTCTGACATGCACATTGCTAACAGTTGTGAATCTCCTATAAACTGAAAAATTAGTTAGACACAGCCATTGTGAATTTTGTACCTTACAGTATGTAATCTCTTGCACTAAGTTTGCAGAATTGAAAAAAAGCTGAAAAATGTAAGCAAAACATCCGAATATGAGGATGGCTTACATGAAATGAGATGGGTTATTTGTATAAAAATGCTGTGAGAACAATTCTTGAATTGGTAACTAGAAAGGGAAAAGGTTGGGTTAAAGCTGAAAGGAAAAATGAGTGTTGACTTTAGAGATGAAAAGAGGCAGGAAGGAGCTTTTCCAACTCTACAGTAAATGCAAGTGAGTTTCAGAATGAGTCTGGGTGACAGCTAAGCACAGCATGCTTGCAACTGTGTGCTACTGGCTTAGATTAATGTGTGAACAGACCTGGTGAGGTTAGGGATGGAAATAGGTGGGAAAATGTATGAACATTGTTGCTTCATGTTGTGTTGGTTTGGAGAATTGAGTTCCTTAGTTGTACTTCTCATTAGTGTGGAGTGGTGCTGTACTAATTCCCATTCGCATTAATTCGCATTCACAAGGTGTTGCCCTAGAAACGCCCTGACCAGACTTGCCCATACTGGGATGGGCTGAAGATATTCACAAAGTTCAGTAGATAACTGCAGAAAACAACTAGATCTAAAAGAAAAACTAATTGATAGAAGGAGTCCATTGAGCCCACACGTCTTCTTTTTCCCAGTCGCAGTTAATCCAAGGATGACGTTCAACCATTTCTCAGAGCAATTCAGGGTCAACAACAGGGCTGGATAACTTGCTCCGTCCCTCCAGGCTGCATCTGAATGTTGCTGAAGCCGAACTGTGGATGTTGAGCCAGTGGGGATTTTTTCAAATTTAGAGCACATGGCAAAGCAAAATCCACTGCAGTTCTTCTACAGTCAACAGTGAAGTTGTCTGACAAATTGATCCATTGGGTCAGACTTGAGATTCCAAAAGATCCACAACGACAATTTATTGAGCTCACTATCACACTCTGCTGTGGGATTTCTTAGGAGAGTTCCTATTGTAAAGCATCGCATATTGTTATTTACTGGAGACCCAGAGCTTCTTTTTAATCTCATAAGTCACATATTTTAATATCATTTTAAAAATACTTCAATATCTCAATACAAGCATTGCACTTTTTTTTCAAAAGGAGGGTTTCGAGATTTAGGGGTTCCTCATCTTTCAACTGTTTCAAAAACGTCGCATTTTCCTCTTTAAAGGAAAACGACAGATGAACAAAAGAGTGCTGTATTACTTCCAGGAGTGCTTGAGAAGGCTCATATTTGAATGTTTTGGAAAGCAAGCAAGAAGCTTTATAACCTTAGTCACTTATGAATGTTAGCTGTTGATGAACACAAAGGTACTGGCTGCTACCACAGAATTATGGCTTTTGTCATAATATGTGTTCCAAAGGGCTAATCGCTCTTTAGTGCTTAATTATTGTGTTTTTCCAATCATGTGTTTTGCCTTTATTTTTGTATTCTGAGCTCTTCTTTTTTAAATTATTTTCACAGCAAATTAAATACTACAACAACAAGATGTGTTCGCAATAATTATTTACATTGATCCTTAGTAACGGAACACAAACTTGAGGTGAACAAAGCTACAGAAATCTCCTAAATATTTTCAACAGACGCTATCTTGATATGCTTATGCTGTTATAGAATAGGAAATTATCCTATGCAAAATACAAGACAAGAAAAATAACTGGAAAAAATGGTATGAATTGATAAGACAATTTAAGTTAAATAAAACTCCAAAATGAAGAGGGAAAACTGGTGTTTTACTTTGTCAGTGCAGATAAGTAGATCACTCCAGAAATGTTTAAATGTGAAACAGTCAAACTTCATTAATTCCATATATACCCTATGAAGTTCTACATAATTTTGCTTATTTGCCAATTTAAGGGAAAAAAATGAGGCCCACAGAAAGACAAAGATTAGTAAACCAGCTTTCCAGAAATTAAGTTTCAAAGACATCAAAGCATATGACTCATGGTTCTTAAATTAAGTACTAGAAATGATTTGATTATCCACGCCTTTAATGAGTAAAGACTGGAAATGCTAAAGAGACCGATGAGATTTGCGTATCTGTTTGTAGACTATAGAAACAAAAAAAAACCTGATGAAATGATATTGCAGAACTTTAAATCTGAGAAATCAAGGGAAGCAATATTCTGATATAGATACAGAGGACATAAGATAACATGTGCTAGAACCCAGGTGTGGTGCTGTCTGAGTGTGACAGGGAGATTCCAGAGGCTGGGTAAAAGTGTCTGGACAACACCAGGGCTTTGATTGGAGGGGGGTTGGGCAGGTGGGTGGTGCATGTCACTAGTGGATTCTGTGAAAAGTCTCCAGTCAACAGCACACATCAGTTACACAAAGGCAGTGTAAAAATTCCACTGCTGGATGTCTCAGACAACATGTGTGTCTTCATAGCCACTCACCAAACGTAATGGCTCTTACTGGCAGTTAATAGCAGCTCGGTGATTCCATCCCACAGGGCTGTGTGACATCCAATGCACTGTTAGAACGCCTGTCCCAGAAGCACAGGGCACCAGTTGGCACCCTGGTCAGGACACACATTCATCCTAGGGAACACAAGCACCAAGACACAATTTGGTGACACCAATTAACCCAGCCAGTCTATCTTTGGGAGGGGGTTACAAATCTATATGGATAGCAGGAAGACTAGCATACTCCATACACAAAGCTGCAAGAATTGAACCCAGGACCCAAGAGATGGAGGAAACAGTGCTGTCACGTTACCATCCGTAGATGCATGACAGTTAATCCTAACTTGTGATGAATGGATAGATGGATAGATGGATAGATTAATGATCCCCTGAGGGAAATTGCAGTGCAACCGCAGTTTAACACAGTCAACACAGCACGGTGTAACGAAATGACACAATAATACAACACTACAATACATACAACACAATCAATACAGTTAGTGAGAAGTGCACTAAGAACAGTTACTCACAGTCCAGAATATACAAAGAACAAACCAGAACAGTACACAAAAAGTTGTATTGCACAATATAAACATAAATGTATTGCACAAGTCCCTGACATATATTGCACAAAAACAGTTGTAAATGGGAAAAGACATATGTAGTAGAGAGTTTACTGTTTAGTCCAAAAACAGGTCAATGTCAATGTTTCCCCTGCACAGACACAAAGTGGATGCGTTGTACAGTCTTTTGGCAGAAGGCAAGAATGACCTCCTGTAGCGCACCCTGTCGCGCCGTGGATGAAATAGGCACTATGAGTGCTCAGAAAGCTTAATTATCAATATTTATAGTTTGTATTTTTTCGGCAAGTTTTTTTTTTAGGGGGAAAGAATTCGTAGCTAACTGCATTGGAGTGAAGTAGGAAGCTGACAGAACACTGGAATGTGCTTCTTCCATTCATTACATTCAGCCTGGGGAGAGCTTTCTTTAGAAACAGCTAACAAGTGTGTCGGATAATCTAAGCGGACATAGAACAAATTTAAAAACACAAGCATCACAAGCATCTCAAGTAAAAAAAGACAGTCAATTATCCTTCATCTACCTGGTCTGCCCAAAAACAAAGAATAAAGACTCTATTTCCCAGAATGC